TAGAATAAATTAAGAGCAAGGAAGAGCAAGGATGAAGGGGGGGAGCAGTTGTGGCCTAATGGTTAGAGAGTCGGACTTGTAACAGGGTTTTGTTCCAATGTCCTGGCTCAAAATGAAGCGCAGGTGGTACCATCTTGATCATGTGCACACAATGTACCCACCCTTCAACTGGCTGAAACAAACACTTTACACGCAAAGTATTTTAGGTGTTCTAATAATTACATGATTGAAGAAAATGACAATTATCAGGTTAAATTTTACAAAAACAAACCTGTTGAACATTAAATTAAATACAACATAACAGCTAAATGGTCCCTTTTGCAGTATAGGTGAACATAAACATAACATTAGGTTGTTAAACACTTTGTTTATAAATTGAAAATCTTTATTCAGTCTCCTGGTCCATGCATATCGCTTTGATCCAATATACATTTATCCACTTATTATAAAGTGTCTTTCTAGAAAACAAAACATTTTTTGCAACTTTCCGTGATTTTTTCTGATAGAATACATCATGAAATTTAATCACAGTAGGGTAACAGGTGCATTAGAGCTAACAATAGCATCAAGCTACATAAGACTATTAATAAAATTAATGCTACGCTTTTACTCAAATCTCACTTCAAACCACCATCAAGTGTTTGTAATAACTTCCGATTGCTATCTAATGTGGATTTTGGTCATATAATGTTGTTAAGCTATTTGTAGCCTTTTATACTCCGCTAATAGCTACACCAGATTAGCATTTCTCATGTAAACATTCTTTATTGTTATGAAAATACCCCAAATCTCATGAAAATCACATACAAACCATATACTATCGTAATCGTGTGTTAATTAGCTTCATGTTTCGTGTGTTGAAGCGTTTCCTTGGGTTTAGGTACGGAACTGAAAGCGGAAGAGATATGGAAGCTCGTCATCGGAAGAGACAGGGCGGGATTTGAGCGCGTAATATGATTGACACATGAGCAGCGAATGAGCATCTGTATCAGAACAGCGATCGTGGAAGAGAAAATGCAGACAGGCAGCGCTGGAAGCATCTAATGCTCATTGGATCGCGTAAATCAGTGGAAAATGAATAGAAATGACGATGATTCTGTGTAAAGAAATATTAAGTAAACATGTCTAAAGATATCAGTATTTCTCCAAATATGTGCACTTTTGGACTAAAAAGCCTAATGGACGCTGTTCAATGACGCTTGCACGTGACTGGCTGAGTTTTGTCGACAACCAGAGGCGGCACAACATTTGGCGGAGGCGGCCGCCTCATAATTCTCTATGCAGGAAAAACCCTGTGTAACCCGAAGGTCGTGAGTTCGAGTCTCAGGTCCGGCAGGAATTGTCGTTGGGGGGAGTGAATAACCAGCGCTCTCTTCCACCCTCAATACCACAGTTGAGGTGAGACCCTTGAGCAAGACACCGAACCCCCAACTGCTCCCCGGGTGCCGCAGCAATATGCTGCCCACTGCTCTGGGTGTGTGTTCACGGTGTGTGTGTGTTCACTGCTGTGTGTGTGCACTTGGATGGGTTAAATGCAGATTCAGAAGTAAGGGTCACCATACTTGACTACACGTCACTTCACTTTAAAAGAATGAAGATGAGACATCACACCACATCTACAAGCAAGCATAAACATTTACACACATTTATATTGTAACTAAAAGATGTACTCAGTAATGTTACTGCAATGGCTAAAATGTCAGTTGTCCTCAAATTTTAGTTACTGATGTCACTGTAGAAAAAGTTATTTGCTATCAGTTCTGATGATTAATGTTCTGTGAGCAATAGTGTTATAACTGCCCCCCTCCTCCACCCTGTGAGATGTAAAATAAAACTGTTATTACACTGCTGTTATGACGAGTCTCTATTGCACATCACTTTAAACAGAAAAATTATAGTATTTAAGTATAGCCATTTTATTTTTCTGCAAAAATAAAATGTTTTAATGAGTACAAATTATTGAGTGTACCTCTAAAATTTTTTAAATCATATAGGGGCACTGTCGGAAATGTCAGCCCAAACAGACCAGACAAAATGGATTAAAAGTTTAGAAGTAAGGTATTTGACACTATGGGTGGGTAAGAATGTTTTTTTATCTTTTAGTTTTTGTTTTTTAATTTGCAATGAAAAGACATTTGTGACATGCTCTGTCAATGACTTGGGCGAAAAGGGGTCATTCCCTTGGTGCCCCTTGTGCAGAGTCTGTGGGCCTATCTTGCAGTTCCCAATCCATCATGATGGCTAATCAGGATGATCAGACTCAGTTATGCAATTCAGTTTGCGTGGTGCCCGCCCAAGTTCATCGGCATCCTTTTCACCTCAGTAAGAGGCGAGAACACTACTGTCCTGCATGCGGAGATTAATAGAGCCTGTCCCTCTGGCCGAGATGAAGCAAGGGTTTTACAGTCCCTACTTCATCATAACAAAGAAGGGTGGCGGGAGCTCGTTCTCCTCTCAATATCTCTGTGTCTAATCACCCTGAGGAAGGACCTTTTTACTCAGGGACAGGGCACGAAATGGTACCCGTGCCCAGACCTCTGGAACCTCCATGTCTGGCCCGAGGATGGGATGTTGAAGACCTGAGTGGGCTATTACTGGCAGTGATAGACACAGTCACTCACACCAGAGCCCCTTCGATGAGGTAGCTGTATGGTTGAAGTGGCGTCTTCGTTAATTGTTATTCTTACCGGGGAGAAGACCCATAGAGATGCCCCATCAGGTCAGTGCTTTCCTTACTACAGGAGAGGCTGGAGGGGCGGCTTTCCCTCTCAACCCTGAAAATGTACGTGGCACTGGAAGGTAAGTCATTTGAAAAGCACAACCTGATTGTTAGGTTCCTCAGAGGTGCGAGGAGTTTAAATCCTCAGAGACCATGACTTGTTCCCTCTTGGGATTGCTCTTGAGTGCTCTCTCCTTGAAGACGGCCCTCTTGACCATACTCACTTTCACCAAGAGGGTTGGGGACCTGTAAGTGCTCTATGTTAGCAAAGCGTACCTAGAATTCTACCTCTTTCAGGGATCAAGTCGTGAACTTGCAAGCACTCCCACCTGATGAGGTAGATCCAGTCATTTCCCTGCTGTGTCCAGTACGCACTTTGTGCATTTACCTGAACTGCACAGAGAGCTTTAGATGTTCAGAGCAGCTTTTTGTCTGCTTCAAGAGACAGCAGAAGTCTCCAAATAGAGGGTAGCCTACTGGCTGGTGGATGCCATCCATTTGTCATACAACACCCATGGCATGCTGTGTCTCCTAGGACTTGCAAGTACACTCTATTAGAGGTGTTGCTGCCTCCTGGGCTCTATTGAATGGCGCCTATCTAGCAGACATCTGTAGAGATGCTGGCTGGTCTACACCCAATACCTTTGCGAGATTCTACAATCTCCGAGTGGAGCTAGTTTTTTCTAAGGTGTTGTTGAGTACAAACAGGTAAGTCCTAGGTGAACTGGTGGGTGTGGGTGCTTGCACACAGCGCCTTTCTCCTCTCTGAGGCCATACTGGAAAAACTACCTCTCATTGGTTTCATACAGATTACTTTATCAGAGAATATTTGTTTTCGATATGACTTACTTCATTTAAAAGTAGACACTTCAAGCTCTGCACAGACCCTGTGGCCAGCTTTCTCTGCCCGTTCGCTGGATTACGTGTACTGTTGGTTATTACTGTCTGCTTCCCTGCCTTGTACTGGTTGTGTCTAATAAACTGCAGATGGATCCTCAAGCTACTGTCTCGTCACAGAAGACTTCGCCGAACAGTGATCCAGCAGCTATCACGCAACTCTCATCAGAACTATCTGCACAAGCCAACCAACTTGCCATGCACCAGCATCAACTAACTCGCCTAACCACTTTAACGGAGGAACTGGTGAGAGCCGTACAGGGTCTGAGTCGGTCACCAGCAGTACATCCATTCACTGTTCTAACTGACCATAAAAACCTAGAATACTTGAGACCGGCCAAACGGCTCAATCCTCGACAGGCTAGATGGGCTCTATTCTTTACCCGATTCCACTTCACAGTCACTTACCGACCCGGGTCCAAAAACGCCAAAGCTGATGCTCTGTCACGATTTCACGAGGGGAGTGATCATACCAGCATGGAGGAGAACATTATTCCTGAAACCCTGCTTGTCGCACCAGTCCAATGGGACATTTTGACTGAGATGGATCTCTCTAACGCCACACATCCTCCTCCTCCTGAATGCCCTCCACAACTCACGTTCGTCCCAGAACAGCACAGAGATAAACTCCTGCATCAAGTTCATGACAACCCCAGCTCGGGGCATCCAGGTATCACAACAACCCTCCACCTTCTCAGAAATCGTTTCTGGTGGCCTACAATGTCTAAAGACACAGTCACCTTTGTGAATAATTGCACGGCATGCAACACATCCAAGCCTTCACGCCAATTACCCGCTGGCCTACTTCAACCACTTCCAATACCCCAACGTCCATGGTCCCATATTGCTATAGACTTCATCACGGACCTACCCAACTCACTGGGAAATACCACCATCCTCACAGTCATAGACCGCTTTTCCAAGTCCTGCCGTCTCATTCCCTTGCCTAAACTTCCTTCCGCTCTTGAAACTGCTGAAACACTATGTAACTATGTGTTCCGGTTCTATGACCTACCCGAGGTCATTGTGTCTGATAGGGGTCCTCAATTCACCTCTCGAGTCTGGTCAGGACACAAGATATCCAGCCCCTTTCAGAGCATTGCACTGATGACACTGAATGTATTGAATAGAAAATATCAAAACATCACACTTAAGACGTTTGACATTAGACTTACAGCTTCTTCAGCCTGGCGCTTGTAGGCCTTCACTTTCAGCTGCAGCTTGTCTACCAGATCCTATAGTCGGGTCACGTTCTTGTCTCCCTCCATCTTTGGGTGTAAATATTGCTCATGGTCTTACTTAAACTTTGTAAATTATAATGAAAGGTGTTAAATGTCTAAATCCAGTGTAGTTTTACCTGGTAGATGAGCTCCTTCACTCTCCTTTAATATTTGCGCACTCCTTTCACAGCGTCTGCACCACGTCTCTGTTCAGCTTCAACTTCAGCCTCCAACTCATGCACCTTCAGTAGAGAGTTATTGTTATCACCTGTGAAATCTCTGCCATGGCCAGTTCATCTAAGGGTTACTCACACTATGCGATCTGAACCATGCCCGAGCACCCCCAGAGTCTGGTTATTTTGGCTAGTGTGATCACTCCTATTCCTGCGCTCCACCATGGCCACCTGCTCCTTCATGTCTTCCTGTCCTCTGAGAGCTTCATCAAGGTGCAGTTGGGCATCCTGTGGCAATGTTCTTTTATTTATTAGTTGTCATGCTTTAGTTAATTCATGTATAATTTTCACATGATCAAACATATAATTTGTTTTGCAATTCCACATTATACAAAAAGTAGGGATGCACCGGTACCACTTCTTCCAGAACGAGTCAATACTGATACTTTTTTTATTTTTGGTACTTGCCGATACAGATACCTGTATTTTCAAAGCATTTGTAATTTTTTTTAAATTTTGGGTACAGTAACCAAAAAAATATGAATTATGTTAGCTGGCTTGATTTAGCAAACAGATATTTCCTTCAGTTATTTTCACATGTATTTATGCCCGTTAAAATGTATTGTACAAGCTTTTGTTACTTTCACTGTTAATTTTATTGCTCTATCGTATTTTGTCTTTAATTTTATAGCAAAGTGCACATTAGAACTGCTCTACTGCAGCGGCTCAGTACTGTAATCACAAGACGTTTTCCTGTAATAATGCAGGTGACCACTCCTTAGACAAAAATCTTGTAACAGCGATGAACAGATTATCTGAAATATAAGTCGTGTTTTTATCTGAAACGTGCTGCGACTTATATTCCAAAGTGACTCATATAATACAATTAAAGGGTCATGAAATGCCAAACTACTTTTTCTGAGATTTTAGCGGTGGTGTTTGTGTTGCACATCATAGAAGACAATGTTAGCATCCATTCATTTTAATTGTTGGAGAAAACTAACATTTTAATTTTAAAACATTAATTTTGAGATTTTTTAGCCATTTTTGTCTTCCAAGTTTAAAATCTACATCGTGTTGAAGTCACAGTTTAGCACCCGTTAGCCTGTAGATGCTGATTTTCTCATCAGCAGTGAAGCCCAGAATATCAATGGCAGTCTATTTTCACAACGACCAAATAAATTACATTATTTATCACAGAGTCAAAAAAAGAAGAAGTGTATTTTATATTGTGTGTCATACAGTATTCAGTTTATGCTGGTGTTTTCCTGATGTTCATTTAGTCAGATATATTTAATAGAATCTGGAAATAGTACTACTACTAATAATAATGAAGTTGTCCACATACATCTGCGGCAATGAACTCCTCGACATCATTGATACTCTTGACAGAGATTTCACCCTGGCTGATCATTGGATAGTCATAAGGGTTGGTGGTGATGAGCAGGGCCTCTATAAAGGGTTGATGTGCAGCACGTTATCAGTGTTCTCAAACATGGAAATAACTGAAGCACACAATCCTGTAGATTTCTCACCGAGCAGCTCTGGCTTGTGTCCAGTCATGAGCTGGTAGAAGATGTGGTAACTCCTCTCAGCAGACAGCTGGAATGTCACGCGAGACTTTTCAAGCAGATCTTCCCAAGAAAATAATGGTTAAAAAAGAAATTTGAGTTCAATTGATTGATTCACCTGTTAGAATCCTAATAAAAATATTTGGCTTAAAACAAGGTTGACTCACAAGTTTCAATATCAGCTGAGGCCAGTTTCCCAGTGGTCGCAAAGTGAATCCTGATGAATTTACCCTGCGGAGAGGAAATATTTAGAACAGCTTAGAATTTCCCATATTTGGAATGTTAAGTGAATTTGTATAATGCATTTCATTTGACCTCAGCAACTTACAAAACGAGAGGAGTTGTCATTCCTTACAGTCTTGGCATTTCCATAAGCCTCCAGCAGAGGGTTGGCTGCAATGATTTGATCCTCTAGCGACCCCTGGTGAGTATTTAAGTAATTTCATCATGTAGAATAATTCTGTCACTGTGCTTTAGATGATGTTTGATTTAGTGTAGTTACCTGCATTTTGCCAGGGACAGGTTCTGCCTTCTTCGGTCCAGACACAGCGATTGTTGCAAAGTACTGGATCACACGTTTGGTGTTGACAGTCTTTCCTGCACCAGATTCTCCACTGAGTGGAAAAGATGGAAAAGAACATATTTTAGAATATTAGAAATGACTTGTTTGATACGTTAGCTTTTGTTTAAGTGCTTCTTTAAAAACCATAATCGTCAGGCACTGCATTTTCATGCACACCAGAAATCTACATCAATGTACATGCATGGTTTTAGTGGCATTGTCTAATCCTCGTATACAAGCAACACCATAAGGAAGGAGGTTTCCCCCAACACATTTTTTTTTACTTTAGTTATCCCGTTTTTTCCCCATCACATGCCTATTAGAATGACGCTAATGCATTCACATGTTCATGTAAGCCACTAGTGTTGTCAAAAGACCCGGTATTTCGGTACCAAGTCGGTACTAAAAAAATGAAAACGTTACGGTACCAGTTTGCTTTGGTACCGAAATTGGTACCGAGAACCGTGGATTTTCACTGGTATCGGTACCGAATACTGAAATTTTGGTACCGTGACAACACTATAAGCCACACTCTCCAGCAGAATAGGCAGGTTTTAAAGCTGCTTTCTCTTAATCAATTAAATAGCCTTCACTTCAACATGTTTTAGAGTGCTGCTTTCTGCAAAAATGTTTAAATAGGCAGTTTTCTTAAGTGCATGGAAACACATTTACTTGTTTAAGTTCTTATACAAAAACCTTTTAATGATCATAGTCTACTTACGTAATCAGGATAGACTGATTCTCACTGTCTGAAACAAGTTCATAATGTTATTTTAAGTGAAACCACTAATCAGATTTTTAAATTTAAATTGTAAATTTATCAAAATATAGGCAGGCTCAGGTTTAGCACAAAATAAGCACACCTCAAAGACGATCTAATTTTTTTATTGGTTTGAAAATTGGATTGAAAATGTATATCCCCACTTACCAGTGAGCATGAACTGGTAGGTGTTGTCGGAGATGGAGAAGATGTGAGGTGGGGCTTCAATCCTCTTTTTGCCTCTGTATCCAGCCACAACAACTGAGTCGTACACTGGGAGCCACTTGTAGGGATTGACAGTGGCGCAGAACAAGCCAGAGTAGGTCTGAAACAGAAATAGTCCAGTTTTACAATGCTGCCATCCAATCCTAGGAATAAAACATGATTTACTTAGACTTACGTAGATCATCCATGCTGCGTAACGCTCTTTGAGGTTATACAGCACAGCAGTCTCATTGAGGTGGGTCATCATGGCCATGTCCTCAATTTTGTCAAACTTGGGAGGATTCATGGGGAAGATTTCAGCTTCTTTTACCGTGAGTGTCTAAAAAGCTTTCAGCAAGGGTGAGACATTTACTAAAAATGAAAATGTTTGATTCACGTGGCATATCATCATGCAAAATTGTTTTACAGAAGATCATTACATTTTCTAATTGTACTTACTTTCCCACACAGAGTTTTGACAGTAACTTTGCCACCCTCTCTACTAACAAGAGTACCCTTGAAGTACATGTTCTTTGGCTCTGCCACGAAGAATGCCGTTTTGGCATCAAAGGGGTTGTTTTGAGCCTCGATTGTCTCTCTTTCTGGCTTCCGGAGGTAAATGGCCGCTGGGCCAAAACACTCCATTTCATCATCTCCCATAATTGCGGTTTACTGTGACAAATGACAAAGGAGAGAATGTGCTGAGGGTCATTCACTCTAGTACTATAGAGCAGTGGTTTTCAAACCCTGAGACTTAAAAAATGGGTCGCCAGGATGATTTGAGGAGAATGTAGGCTATATATGCATAAAATAAAGGTATGCAACAAAGTTCAAGACTCAGAGAAGAAAGGAGCGGGAAATGGCAAACTTTAATTTAATAACAAAATAAACAAAGATAAACAAAATTAAAGTAAGCAGCTACTGCCTCACAGCAGAATCCAGTGTGTATTTGTGTTTGCGCTGTTTTTGCATCGCAGAACATTGTAGCCAATCACAGACATATCTGTTGATTTCTGCAACACAACGGCCAGAGGCGATTCAGTTAGTCAGAATCCACTCACCGCTTAAAATGCCTGAGTTTTTGTTCAGTCCTGAGTTGTGGAAGCTTGTGAATCCTCATTATAATGAACAATGTGTAGACGCGATGTGCATGAGAGAATAATTGTGCCGTGAAGAGAGATTCATTGATTATAGTGGAATTTTCTGAGATAAACTGAAATGAGTGACAACTTTTCAGTGATTAAGGGAGCGCTCTTTGAATGCTTTCTTGGCTATATATAGACCATTCAGAATTTGAATGAAAGTTTTGTTTTTCATGCTGCTAAGAGGACAAATGTGGCATACATGCTGCAAAGTTTCGGGAGTGATATCTGCACATAAATGGGGGATTCTCTTGAAATCGCAATGACTGACACGATGATAATAATAACAATGGACTGGACAAAATATATGTCAAAATATATGTGCATGAAGGCTAAAGCAGCCTCACTAATTTCAGCAGCACAGACAGTGATTTGGCTCTTGAACAGAGCATCCTTCCGGAGCTCCTCTGTAGGACTCGAGACCGGTCTGTGGCGCAGTTGTCGCTTCCCGGCGGCACTTCCCTGCTTCAAGCCTCTATCTATCTATCTGCTATAACCACTGCTATAGAGTGTGTCACGGTCTGTGGTTGCAGTGAAGCACACAACGATTGAGGTAAATGGAAATAACAGTCTTTAATCAGACTTCAAATCAGGACAAATAGCAGGAGCAAGGATAACCACTAAACAACATCAACGCAAGACAAGGAAACTGAGGAAATCATAGGGCTTATAAACACACGAAACGCAATCAGGGAGAACAGAAACAGGTGAGGAGTTATCCAGGATAATTAATAGAACACAGCTGAGACAAATGGAACTTAATACAACAGGAATCAAACCAAATAAGGACAAACAGGAGCATACACATGACATAACAGTTACACCGGGAGGGGGGGGAAGGCTGGTGCAGGGCAGGAACAAGGTGGAGACAAGGAGGGCCTCCAGGGCGGATCAGGGGGCCATGGCGGAGCAGGCAGTTCAGGTTGCCATGGCGGATCCTCCGTGGCCTTAGCCGGCTCGGCCACGGGCATATGGCCTCCCCCCAAAATTTTCTTGGGGAAAATTAGGAATTCTGGGGGGCACTTGAGGGTGCTCTGGCGGAGCGGGCACTTGAGGGTGCTCTGGCGGAGCAGACTCTGGGGGGCGCTCTAGAGGAGCGGGCAATGGAGGACGTCCTGGAGGAGCAGAGCTGGCTAGCATGGCTAAGAAGAGACTCTGCCGCAGCGCACCCAGTCTGTCCTCCACCGCAGTCATCTTGCTTGTTTCTGGTTTTGCGTTCTGTCAGGGTCTGTGGTTGCAGTGAAGCACACAACGATTGAGGTAAATGGAAATAACAGTCTTTAATCAGACTTCAAATCAGGACAAATACCAGGAGCAAGGATAACCACTAAACAACATAAACGAATGACAAGGAAACTGAGGAAATCATAGGGCTTATAAACACATGAAACGCAATCAGGGAGAACAGAAACAGGTGAGGAGTAATCCAGACACAAATAAGGAACATACACGACAGAGTGATTTCACATGTTCATTGTAATGAAGAAATTTACTACTGATTTCATTAGTACAGTTGTGTTTGTATTCCAACAACCTTATTTCTGTTGTGATCCCATCCAAGCAGCAGTGAACACACACACACACACACACACACACACACACACACACACACACACACACCTAGAGCAGTGGGAGCCATTTTTTTGCTGCGGCACCCGGGGAGCAGTTGGGGGTTCGGGGAGCAGTTGGGGGTTCGGTGCCTTGCTCAAGGGCACCTCAGTTGTGGTATTGAAGGTATTGAAGGTGGGAGAGAGCGCTGTACATTCACTCCCTGCCGGTACGAGACTCGAACCCGCAACCT